ACTGAATTTGATAATTGTAGATGATTGTTTCAGAAAAAAAGGGACAATCACCAATCTTTCTATTGGATTGGTTTATAATAGCAAATTGTAATAGTTTTTTTAGGGCAACTGAATTTGATCTGACCCAGGAATCTACCTTAATCTAAAGAAAAAAAGAGTTTTCAAAATCCAAGATGGCGGAAATTCAAAATGTCAACCAAAATTTATCTAAAATGGCCGATTTGTCAGATAAAAGTCATTTCACTCTTTGATATGGTTTGTAACACGTAATTTAAAGGGTTTTCAATGTCATTGAACTTAAAATCAATCTAAAATAGAGTTTCCAAAATCCAAGATGGCGGAAATTAAAAAAATGGCGGCCAGATTTTCTCTAAATTGATCAATTTTTAAGATAATCGTCAATTTTCTGTTTTGATATGGCTTGTAATATGTCCTCTATTAAGTTTTCAGAGTCACTGAATTTGATGGGGGGGTTGGATGGCTGAAAGGTTAGCATGCGCGTGCTGTATCATAAAGTCTGTCATTGAGTCGACTGGCGTGATTTTGAATCCCCGGTTGTACGTGGCAAGGAGTAGGGTCGCCTGTCCAACCTCGTGGGTTTTCTCCGGGTCCTCTGGTTTCCTCCCACTGCTAAAGACCCTTACGCACAAGCCAATTATGTAAATAAAATTAAACCATATGTTAGTCCCGAAATGACCTAGTTTGTGCCGAGTGGACGTTAAACCCCATTTCTCTCTCTTTCTCTCTGAATTTGATAATTGAAGATGATTGTTTCAGAAAAAAAAGGGACAATCATAAATCTTTCTCTTGGATTGGTTTATAATAGCAAATTGTAATACTTTTTTAAGGGCAACTTAATTTGACCTGACCCAGGAATCTACCTGTCAATAAATAAACCATGTGCAGAACTTACCAGTCAGCTAATTAGAATTTCAAAGAATTTAACCTTAAGACACAATAAATGTAGCTTAATTGTTTTTATGCATAAAACCCCCATAACAATACAACGGGGCCAACTGACGCATTTTTAATTTCATCTCCTTTGTCTTTGCACCATTTTACCGGAGTGAGAATCATTTGTGGTATATCCAGTCGTTAAGAATTTAAGTTCTCCTATTCGTTCAAAAATGGTAATGTGGTCCGTTTTTGTATCGAAGACTCCGTGTCCAGTAACTTTTGTGGTATAGTCTAGATGTTGTATCCACAGGTCATTTTCGTCAGTTACGTATTTCACAACAAGTTCTACATGTAAGAACAACACATAAGAAAAGAGGAAATCGTGGGGGATGACTTTTGGGATACCTAGTCGTAAATGCATTTCCAATTATTTTCGTGATGATTATTTTTAACTTAGAACTTGGTGTGCATTACATTACAGACGAATATGATCTGTGGATACCATACCACACAAGTTGCGGACACAGAGACTTCGATGATTCATTTTACACTTTTCACTTTATGAAATACATGACTGACAAATATGAATTCATCTGTCTAGATGATACCACAAAAGGTTTCCGGACATAAGTCTTCTGAACAAAAGTTAATAAATATTGATATTCGTCAAGCAGTGTGCTATGAGGAAAATTGGCCCAGACAGTGGTACTATGGTGTACTCTTATTTCGAATTCCAACTGTCTAGGGTTCTTGTATGCGCACGTCAACGTGTACATATAAACCTGGTTTCTCGAGAAGCCCCCGGTGCTGCATCCTGACAAGGAGAAACCACACTGGAAAATCCTAAGGTACTTTTTCAGCAAACATAGGGATCGAACCCCAGATCTCGTTCTTAGCGAGTCTTACTCACTGAACCACTATTTCGAACCATTTCTGAATAAACAATAGATAAATTCTTAACAACTGGATATATATACCTCACTGTTTTGCTGGAATAATATTAAATCTTGTTTATGTGAGATCCAGTATAACAGTTCCAGTTACCATCAAAATAACTACTACTCTTTGCTATTACAAGCCAATCCTATAGGAAAATTCACGATTGTCCTGTTGTATTTTTAAGCAATCATCTACCATCTTCAAAATTCATTTTTGATGTAATATTCATTTTCAAAATTCATTTTTGAGGTAATATTCATTTTCAAAATTCATTTTTGAGGTTATTTTCAAGTTCGTGGACTTTGAAAACCTAATAAAGGACATTATTACAAGCCATACAAAACCGAAAAAATGACGATTATCTGAAAAATCGTTCATTTTAGGAAATTCTGGTCGCCATTTTGGATTTTGGAAACTCTTCTTTTGAGGTTGTTGAGTGACACAGAAAACCCTTTAAATCGCATATCACTCGCCATATCAAACTTAAAAATGACGATTATCCGAAAAATCGACCATTTTAGGGAAATTCTGGCCGCCATTTTGAATTTCCGCCATCTTGGATTTTGGAACCCCGTTATATTTAGATTAATTTTAAGTTTAATGACACTGAAAATCCTTTAAATTACATATTATAAATCATATCAAAGAGTGAAATGACTTTTATCTGACAAATCAGCCATTTTATATTTTTGTATTTATTGATGTCAGTAAGATGTTACTATGGAGAACGTAAATTTCAGATTATACATTCCAGACTTCGTAATTGTAAAAGTGCTCTAAACTTCCATAGATTTTTAATGCATATTTCACATAACCCGACATGCAGTTGTGGTCATACTCAAGAAGACAGCGACCATTATTTTCTGCACTGCCCAAATTATTCGTCTCAGCGTATCTCAACATTAAATACCCTCCCATTTAAATCCATAAATACAAAAGCGTTCCTATATGGCGATACCAACGAAAGTAACCCGTTCAACAAAGTGAGTTTTAGTAAAGTTCACAAGTATTTAAAACTAAACAAGCGCTTTGAATAGATAAGGTAATTGTCAGGCGACGATGATTGGTGTTAAATAGTGATGATGACGATGATGATGACGATGATGATGACCATGAAGATGATTTATTTATATATTTATTTATATACTAGAAGAATGCATGGCTTCGCTCGGGGGTCATAACTCCGAAACCGGAAGTGGTAGACTAACGCCACCTGGCCTATGTTACTCCCCGGTATGAGCTACCCCTATACCCCAAATTCAGACTCGGAAATGACAACGTGAATGATGGATCAGTCGAACGACAGAGTGAATGACAGGAGTTTTCCAGTCGAATAATAAAGATAATGGCAACGCTGGTCATAGCATATCTGTTTATAATATATTTCATATAAATGTTTATACACGTATTTGAAAAATACATTTAGGTCTGCGTGTAATGTTGAATGTATAAATTCGGAAATGTTTTGATCTCTTGAACTGTATTATTTAAAATACACGATTAACGTATTAAATTGTAAATAATGAATCAAGCCAAGACATGTATTAAATGTTTTAAATGTTTTATTGAATTGGAATAGAAACTGAAAACAGATTAACACCCTGTGTGAGATATTTCATTCAAATATTGTGAAAGGGTTGGTAATAAAATTAAAATTGTCATTGTGTCATTTTAATAACATTGAATCGTCCTATTCTGTTACGTAGTCGTCTCAACATATTGTTGTCATGGGTTACTTCTGCTAAACAACTCAATAGAAACGAGTAAAGTATTATAAACGAAATTATGTCTAAAGAGTTCTTCATGACATGTATTGACTGTAAGACACAAAGCGTACAGGATCTAAGTGTGATGTTAAAGGTCAACACGTAACTAGTGAACTGATAAATATTGTACAATTTATCTAAAGAGTACATTTATGAAAACGTGGTACTTTTCTGATATCTAGTTAAATTAACACTTACCCAGATTTTGGCATAAGCATGACTTAAAATGATCACGGCTAAAACACTTCCGTGCGAATCAAGAATTCTTTATGTAAGAATAGAGCTCTATAAGACCGTAAATGCACCACACATTATGTCTCCATAAGATGGTAGCTATATCAAACTTAAAAATGACGATTATCCGAAAAATCGACCATTTTAGGGAAATTCTGGCCGCCATTTTGAATTTCCGCCATCTTGGATTTTGGAACCCCGTTATATTTAGATTAATTTTAAGTTTAGTGACACTGAAAATCCTTTAAATTACATATTATAAATCATATCAAAGAGTGAAATGACTTTTATCTGACAAATCAGCCATTTTAGGTAAATTTTGGCCGCCATTTTGAATTTCCGCCATCTTGGATTTGGGGAAACTAGTTTTAGAGATTATTTTTTCAGTTCAATTACTAAAAAACCTTATATATGATATATTACAAGCCATACCTTGCGTGATAATCACCCATACTATCTGGAAATTAATTTTTCGTCAAATTCTGGCGGCCATTTTGGAAATCAGAAAAACCCCAACCGAAAATGACGTCACAGAAGTAAAATAATCTCATAATCGTCTTCAGTGACAAATTTTGCCTCAGAAACAACCCGACCCCAAATTTTGTTCCGATTGTGACACCCCTAGTAAGAATATGGTATATCAAGGTTGTGGACCCTATAGGGGTCACAATTTTTATCCGATTTTGTTGAAACTTGAAATGTAAGTTTATAACCCAAAGATCTCGGTTCCTTTCGATATTCGTGCATATCGGACCGTAACTTCCTGAATAATGGACCTTGATTGTACGAAAAATCACGTTTTTAGCTTGTGGACCCTATAGAAGTCATAATTTTTATCCGATTTAAAAAAACGTTCTATTATGTCACCGTTACACCCTAAGGGGGACTGAGTTCGAATTTCGTGAAAATCGGCCCAAAATGGCTGTCGTTTGTTCAGTTCCTTTCGATATTTGCGCATATCGAATTGTAATTTCCTGAATTATGGCCCTTGATTATAGGAAAAATCACTTTCTTGTTAGCTGTTCTCTATCCATCTCTCGAAAATGTGGGCGTATCCGCTGGTTTATAGAAATGCTGGCAGGAAGTTATTGAAATGTGTGTTATAGAAATTGTTACAATTCTGAGTTAGACAATCCTTCTTTAAAAAAACAACAGAAAAAAATGGAAATGAAATATTTTTATTCTATAAAACATCAGACAAAACCATGTAGAAATACATAAATCAAATATACAATAAGTTTAAAACTTCTATACAATTTAAAAGCTAAATATAAATTCATTTTAATTTATTCCATTTCTAAATTATCAAGTCTTTAACTAAATGGTCATATTTCTGGTCCCAGAAGTTTAATTTGGAATCAACAAAAAACACATAAAATATCTCTAGCCCTGAAATTCACAAAATCCATATTTTCATTAACCTCCACCTTATAAATTATTTCTGCTATTTGGATTAGACATATTAGCTAATTGTATACTGAAATTTATAGGTATGTATTGGATGATTTGTCTTTATGTAATTCAAGTCTCCGAGCGTCATTTGAGGGTTTGTTAATATCTGGCCAACTATAATATCCAAAAGGAGTATCAATCACAAAAAGGTTCCATTCCATTCAGTATTTACAGAGATGTGATCAATTGAAAATTTCGTAACAATCGCAATCCTCTTCAGACGATAAAAATTGGATATGGTCAAACTGAACGTAAACCAAAACTTCCATAATTGACCAAAGATGTGGTCAACATTTATCGAAATATATATTTCACTGGATTCTTATCAAATAACAAGTATTTAATTGATGGTTCTGATTTTCTTAGGGCAGTTCTATGGTTAAATAATCAATTTTAGTACCTTTTGATGTTTGAGTATTTCTTGAAAAATAAAAAATGAGGCCTATTTAAACCAAATTTAAATTTAGATATTATATGTACATTGAATGTAAAATTTGCTGTATTATTTAAAAAAAATAATAAAACAAAATTCCTATTTTTATAATTCATTATTCCTAAATATACATTACTCATGGTCACAGCTCTTTGTCAACAAAACATTTCAGATTGGCATATTTTACATTTCCACTCAAAAATAAAACTGAAAACCTTTCATTTTACCCTTGTTTCAATATAGAAAATTTTCTTTCAAAGTCATTTGAAAATAAAATGAAAAACTGTCTTGGATTTTTAGCCTTTAAATTTCAATGTCTGTTAAATTTGAATTAAAGTGACAAAAAGACAAAATTCAATGATCTATTTTATCATTTTATCTACCATTTCATAGCTCCAACAAACAATGACTCCAAATGGTGACTCATAAACCGACAGTGTATATGTTAACATTATATTAATCAATCTAAAACAATTTCATGTAACAAGATATTACAAAACAAATTAACACAAAATATTTGACTAGAAAATAATTTTGTGGGCTTTTTTCAAAATGGGTATCAATTTTTCTTTTTACGTTTTGTCAAATTAATATTTTTAAATAATCAAAAAAAAACTCACTCCCCAATCCCACACTTAAATAATGAGACAGACATCTAATTACATGTTATTTGGTCTTTTTACTTTCCTCTTTGTCTTTCTTTTCCTCTTCATAAGACATCCCGAATTCATTAACACGAGTCTTATCAACTGGATATAACCTGCAATAAATTGAGTATTATTTGGTTGAGCTGATATAAAATTATATTCGGTTTTCCGTCCCATATGAATAACTAGACACTGTCCTTGCCAGGCCCCCCCTCCCCCGTCCTGCACCCATTGACAAAGGGAAACTTTCAGGAAACTTTCTCGACTAACACCAATTGGTGAGCTTGCATCCTGCTCACTCAACCACTGCGGCTCTGATTCAAATAGTGTTGCCAGACAAGAAATATTTATCCATCCAGCAGCATTTCAGGGATAAAATCGAAGGGTGAATCTGAAATTACAACTAGCCAAACATTCTTGACAAATTTATAATTATTAGATTATTTCTGCTAGTGTTGGAAAGTATACAGAATATTTTATCAGGAAGTATTTGATCATGTATCTGATCACATTGACTGTATGAGCAGGAAAGCCTCCACGGGCCACTCTAAAGAATATTATGAAAAATGTCAATGTGAAAGATTATGAACAGTTTCCATAAAATTAGCGTTTGACTAGTTTGAGGTAAATTTAGGTTACTTACCATCTTTGATATAAATACACTAAAAATACTAGATCGTCACGGAAACAGGCTAATCTGTGAGCTGTTGGCATAGTGATAATAAATGCGAATATGTCATCAATAAATGTGTTGAAAGCCTGAAAATAAGATTGCATACTTATTAAAATGGATGATTATGAAAATAGTACTGAAATAACTGGTAGATTTGCAGACCTGTCAACTCTACCGCATCACGCTGTAAAGTCCCACAAAAAGGTCTCATGTATCGTAATAGATTTCTACCACAATGTGGTTTAACGTCCACTTGACACAAACTAGGTAATTTCGGGACTAATATAGGATTCAATTTGATTTCAATAATTCACTTGAGCGTAGGAGTCTTTAGTAGTGTTAGGAAACCGGAGGACACAGAGAAAACCAACAAGGTTGGAGAGGCGAACCTACTCCTTGTCACGTACAATTGGGGAATCGAAACCACGCCAGTTGAACAAATCTGAATAATCTCCATCCAAGTAAGTCAGCAACATATCTATCCTTTAAAACAAAACTTACCTTATACATAAAAGCTCTCCATGGTAAATGGGCCACTGATTTTAACTGAAATAAGAAAAACAGTTGGATATTTTATCAGGATATTTTATATTATTTAAATGTTTTTTTAATGTCACTTATAAATTGTCTGCGGATCGGGGTGGTTCACTGTGGATTCTTGCGCCAGCAGATTAAGTTACATGAAATTTTATTTGAGCCATTGACAAAAATAGGTTGCCAGGCTACAAAACACACACACACTCAGCTGCTTTAATAAATTACTGTCCTAGACATATTTTATAATATACTTACTTTATAATTAACAAATAGTTGAGGTAACATAAACAAAAAGCCAAAAGCATAAACACCTGTAATAAAGAATCAGTACAATTAAATACACAAAAAGAGTACACAAGAAAAAAAACAATGAACGCTTCAGAATAAGAAATACAATATAAAATCTGCAATGGCTTGAGTTCTCTGTAAATACAAAGACATTTTTTTTTTCACAAAATTGTCGAAAGATATCAGTTTTTAATGTCAAACATATAGGGTTTTTTTTATAATAAACTTTCTTACCATTAACAAGACTTTGTAAAACCCAGGAATACCAGCTGAAGAAAAGGATAATAAATAATTTAGTATTCCAATATATAACTGGTTTTATGTAAATTATATAAAACATAAAACAAAATTGTCCCGATATTTAAACTTTGCCCGAGCTTCATTACTTTTCCATTGGCATGGAAAATGAAAGTGACGAATGAAGTAGGGTTTTCTAAAAAAAAAAAAAAAAAATTAGGTGTGCGGTATTATCTACTAAGAATACAGGGGATTAATTGAACAATGAATTATCTTTTCAAAAGACAACAAAACCCCCTATTTGGTCATTTTGATTTCCGTTATTAAAGAGACCCTGGCACTTTGAAGATCTTGTCTTATCTTAAATGAATGTAACACTATATAAAATGAATTCCATTGTAAATTTATTTTCTTGTTGAAAGGGATTATATCCTTTTAACATTAAGTTTATAATAACTAAGAAATGGTTAGAAACTATAATGATCTGATAATGAATTATAGAGCATACTTTTTTTCAAATAGTCAAGTATATATTTATCATGTCAAGATGACATCAATAAAACTTAATATTGGTTGAATACATTTCTTAAAACACCATTCTGCACCAGGAGGGGCAGTGAAGGTTTTAGGTTGGGGCACAGTCTACAGCAGGTATTTTAGAGCTATAGTTGGCAACTTTTTTTTGGGGGGGGGGGGGGAGTGGGGCCTGATCTGCACCATTTAATTCAAAATCAACCCGATTTGAAACTTATTCAACTGATTTCACATGCAACTTCCCAAAAATAATTGTAAGCATTTACCTTCTATGCTGGACATATAATAAAGAATAGCCAGCACCTAGTATACACAACGGATATAAAACATACAATAAATACTTCATCGCCTGAAAAATAAACAAAACAAAAAGAGTAATATAAAGTAAAATTGTGTCAAAATTATTGGAGAACGATGACTGTGCTTCCTCTACTCTTATAACAAACACTTATATAAGACATAAGATATAAGTATAAATTGATAATCTAATTTTGTACCTATTGACAGACAAGTTTTAAATCATATTAACAGTTGCTAAGGCAATGCTGATTGTTATATTCACTGATTATTCACAGATCAGAGTATTAAAACAAGAATGTTTTGAGTTGAGATTTAAAATGGTCTGCTTTTTTTAATTGTTTTATTGACTGTGGTAGTTTATTCCACAGAAAAGGTCTAGCAAAGCGAAATTTTTAAGTTAATAGTTTGTGTTATATATACCTGAGAATCAAAAGCTTCAGTTTCTTTCTCTCTTGCATCTTTTTCACCAAACTGTAAAATAAATAATATATAGTATTTATGGAAGCTCATAGTGACCAAGAGAGAGAGAGAAATGGGGTTTAACATCCACTCGACACAAACTAGGTCATTTCGGGACTAACATATGGTTTAATTTTTTATTTACATAATTCGCTTGCCCGTATGGGTCTTTAGCAGTGGGAGGAAACCGAAGGACCAGGAGTAAACCCATGAGGTTGGACAGGCGACCCTACTCCTTGCCACGTACAACCAGGGATTCGAAACCACGCCAGTCGACTCAACGACAGACTTTATGATACAGCGCGCACGCTAACCATTCAGCCATCCAACCCCCCTCATAGTGACCAAGAGGGAAATAATAATAATTAATAATGTAATAATAATTTATTCATTTACATAGCACAATAAAATCCAGCTGCTCTACAGAGCTTTACAAAGCTTATAGATGTCTCACAATAAGTGAAATGGTGTTTAACGTCCTACTTCTTCACCAAATGTGCTAATGGGCTACTGAAGACTGACATACGTCATGCAGTGTGCCATGAAAAAAATTTTGCAGGATTTTGTCAAGTTTCAACTGCCAGGGATTCTTTCACATACAAGTTAACCTGAACACAGGAACACTTTTTCGTACAATCCAAACAACAAGATTCAGTTCCTTGCATAGCATTAAAGATAGTTGATGAAATAGCATAAATAGTTAATTCGCTCCAATGATATATCATAATGAAAGATTTCTTCTTCGTTAATAGTTTATCAGTCTGTAATTAATGAAGCCATTATATTTACCTCGAAGCTAGGTATAATTCCACTCCATACTACTTTGATTTTAAAAGCTTTCTTTACTTTCCACACCTAAAATAAACACATCAACTTATTGTTGGCAGTGCTATTCAATTATACATATCTTAATTACAAGGCAGAAATATTAAATTGTTAAAGATACATTCCCATGAAAGTATTTATAAGGTAGTTATTTCCAGTAAAAGGGGGGGGGGGGAATGTGAAATATAGAAGAGACAACCAAATCTTACTAGAAAAATACTGGATTCCCTGAAGAACATCAATGATGTGCATACAAGGCAAAAATGTGAGGCAGTTTGTCTTCTCTGATATTTAGGGTAAATGGACAGTGACTAACAACAAATACAAGCTAATAGTGGATTCTCACTCAATCAAGTCACATGATAAACAAGGCTGATGTGTCACGGCATGGGTTAGTTTTTTCTGATTAAAAATTTGTAATAGAGATTTGAAGCAAACTTTTGATAGATAAATTAGTTTGAATATATATGCGGAAAGGCATCTTTAAATTGTTAATAACCAATCCTAAGTTCAGGCACCTGAATTCTTAATCAATAATCATTATCTTTATACATATAGCATCCAATCCATTGTGAACTTGGAAAAATATGAAATTGGCTTATCTGTGTACCAGGTATCCTGCTGTGGGTAACTGATATTATTCAGAGGAAATTTCAGAACTAATTATATACACCAGTAAATGGCTATACAACAGTTTGCTTAAACAGGTGTCCTTCGACTCCCAAACTTTTTACTGTCAGGACTATGAACTAGTAAAATAAGCATGGATTGGATTTATTCTCAGAAATTTATGATGATATAATGGCAATACTCTGTATCAAGTAATAATTTGAAGTATATGAAAGCTTTATTGATTAAATACACACTGACACTTTCATTTCATGAGAAATAATTTATTCTTGTTTATATACAAAAGTAGGTAAAACTCACCTCAATTAAAGTTCCAATACCAGCGGGTATTAGAACTAATAAGCTTGTATTTTCATCCATTAAATACATAAATATAACAATAGTAGATACACATCGCCATATAACTGCTCTTGATGATAATCCTACCATATCTTTTCTCTCTTTCCAATAACTTATTTCATTTTTAAAAGCCAGGAAATCAAACAGTAGCTGTAATATAAATAGGACAAAAGAGAATTAAGAAAAATTATATATCTAAAAACTTTGCTAATGCAGGATGGGCACTCAAAGCACGAGATAATGATATAGACATTATGTGATATCACAATTAAGGCTTTGCATCCATGAAATTGAATCACAATGTCATTGTATTAATTCATAATAAAAATTGACGTCAAACGAGGTGTTGAATTTCTCTGTTTAAAAAGCTCAATGTGTATGTATATACGCCAAAATGACGATAGAGACCATGCGGGAGGGGGGGGGGGATACATTGTTTCGAGAACCTGGCAAACCCCCTCCTGCAAAAATTCCTGGATCCGCCCCTGTACAACATATCAAAAATTGATCTTCTTCCATATTTAAAGTGTAACTTACATGAAAGACAGCTACAGTAAATGTTAATATTAAGAAGTAGAAATTTGTATCAGAAAAAATCCCTTTAATTTCATCTGTATCTTTCTCCGTAAAACCTGTATATACATTACATTGATAAATGTTTGATATTTTCTTAACTAACTAATAACTATGCATAAAATCAATGGGTGCCTCTGAATTTGAAAAGGATTTCTCTTTAGGACTAGTGGAACAATGACAACAAGTTTTTAAGGAGCGGCACTGAATTTTGCTAGTGTCAAATGAATATTTTATGCCAAGGTAAAAAAAAGTTTATACGAGCTAGCACTAATAAGTTTTAGAAATGTCAGCAATCAAACAAAGACCAGTTTGGGTATCTTTCAACAGTAATAGGAACTATTATATGTCAGAGTGAACAACTAGAGTAACAAGCTATATTTCTGAGATATCTTCAGTCAAAGGCAATAAATATGTGAATCAGGCCACACAAAAAAAATATTCTGGTTCTTAAACAATCCTTTTTAAAAAATTAATGAGGGCCGGCGATCTACAAACATAAAAAAACATAGTATATCTTCTTCAAGATAAAACAAACAATACTATTCATTATTTTCAAGGATCTGATGAACATATTATATGTACTTATGACTTTATTAAAATTAGACTTACCAAGTCCTCGTAACATTTTAAATGATTCCAAGACATTTGCCCACATACGCAATTTACCCACAGATATAGGAGTATAAGTAAGAGTTAATGGTAATGTTGTAGTACTTGAATTTACTTCCTGCAATATAATATTTATACAATCAATTCAATTTTAATGTCTTTGTCACATTTTGATTGCTTTCCTAATGGTAACAAAAAAGGTAACAAAGAGTGCAAGAAATTGTGTACACTGTTTACTCTAAGAGTGTTTAACGTCCACTCAACACAAACTAGGTTATTTTGGGACTAGCATATGGTTCAATTGTATTTCAATAATTCGCGTGCGTGTAGCTGTCTTTAGCTGAGGGAGCAAAAGCGAGAGAGAGAAATGGGGTTTAACGTCCACTCGACACAAACTAGGTCATTTCGGGACTAACATATGGTTCAATTTTATTTTAATAATTTGCTTGCGTGTAGGGGTTTTTAGCAGTCGGAGGAACCAGAGTATACGGAGAAAACCCACGAGGTTGGACAGGCGACCCTACTCCTTGTCACGTACAACCGGGAATAGAAACCCCACCAGTTGACTCAATGACAGACCGTATGATACAGCGGGCACATGCTAACTATTCGGCCATCCAACCCCCCAGCTGAGGGAGGAAACCAGAGAACCCGGTTAAAACCTACGAGGTTGAACGGGCAACCCTACTCCTTGTCACTTTCAAGCGAGGTGTCAAGTGGACGTTGAACCCCATTTCTCTCTCTCTCTTTACAAAATTGTCGTTCAATGGAACAGAATGAGGTTTAACATGACAGCAACATTTTAGTTTGATAATTTTCAGATAAATCATAGAATTCTTATTTCTAGTTATATTTTCTTCAAAAATCTTGATCACCAAGAACCAGGGTTCCAAAAATATCAAGACCCAAGAATCCGCATATTATATATATACCTTTGAAATTACTATACTTACTAATAAATCTTTGGTTCTTAAAGATAATTCATCTATATAAACAATAGGTAAATATTCACCAGCACGTGTTATTCTGAAAATATATACAGTATTATAATTTAAAATAGATACGACGCCACCCTTTGATGTTGGCATAACAATATTTAAAAAAATGTATGGGTAAGGCAACTTGCCAATTGTACTGGATGAAATATTGGACTCGTGTGACATATTTCATTGAAAAGAATGCGCGGGATAGTAACGCCTCAGTGGTATTTCAATATATTACCCAATGTCTAAGCTCGAGTCCATTAAACCACACTCGTACAATATTTAGGGCATTCCCAACAAAATACTACACAATGTACATTTGGATATAACTACTTCTCTGTTATTCAATGACACGAAGGTGTATATGGATATAACTACTTCTCTGTTATTTAATACCGGTAACACAAGGTGTATTTGGATATAACTACAGTGCACTCTGTCACATCCGACCTCTGATCACTCCAGCACTCTGTTACATCCGACACCATTTTCATGTCCCGATTTATTTCCTTAATACTTCAGCCCAAAAATCTCTGGGTAATTCGACCTATGTACGTTTCGGATTACGACATCAATCAGCTGTCCCGTCATACAATTTCCATTGAATCGACACCGTATAATCCGGCCTTCAATCAGTGGGTGTACTTACCAATCAATTATCCGTGAGATTAAAACTGGATGGGTGTGAAGCCACAAAAGATTAACAAGCAATCACCAATCAATTATCTGTGAGATTAAAACTCGCTATCGTTGCGCATGCCGATTGAACCTGAATAACCTATAAGTTTGGTCACCCAACAGATCTCTTCGAACCGTGTGACGACGACCCGGGGATGCTCGATTTACGGTCCGGAACGTCCCGAATTGACAGAATTGCAATCAAGTGACGCAGAATTCAGTCCTGTCACAGTTCTGTCAGTCCCGACGACGGAGGTGGTGTGAGTAGAATTGTGACGTAATTAAACACGACGAACAGGTTTCAGCTGCATGGTTGGATGAGATATTTATATATCCAGTCGATGCATGCGTTGTAGCCCGAAGTACCCATTTTCACTCGATTGTCACTATTTTTGGGATTGAGAGAATTCAATTCAGGATGTTCAATCAAGTACGCCCAATGAACACGTGATAGCAAAGACAAGAGTGCCATCAACTGAAGACGGCGAAGAAGATAAATTAACGACAGGCTTGACCTATTCAATATGCCTACGCATGTTAAATGAAATAAAAATTAATGTAATAAAATTTTGAATGTACAGAAAGGTTTATCATTTTTAAAGGGAATAACATTCTGGTGATTCGAAGTTCTATGTTCAAAGCTACATTATAATAACACTTCCGGTTTTCGAAGTTACAATATTTTCGGTTTTGAGAAAACTGGGTATTCCGACACTCTGCGTAATCCGACATATTGTAACGATCCCGTACGATGTCGGATGTAACAGAGTGCACTGTACTTCTCAGTTATTTAATAACACAAGGTGTATATGGATATAACTGTACTTCTCAGTTATTCAATAACAACTAAAAATTATGACCTGTATGTGTAACAAAACATTGTTATTAAAAGCAGAAATCTATCAAATTAGGTATAAAACTTACGTCATATATCTAAATATTTCTGCTGGTATACTAAATCTATCAAAGGCTATAGTATCTTCCATAACACTTATTGTTAATTTCTGTCTCCAGTGAGTAACTGGTCTACCTTGTGTATTTGATTTACTGCTCTATAAATATAAATTATACATTCTCATCGATCACTTATAAATATAAATAATACATTATTTTTTACATTTTGGTTTCTGACTTGCATACGTAAAGGTATGTGTTTTCGATCATATGGTCTGACAAGTGGCGTGGATTTGATTAATCCAAGGTCCCCTTGGTTCCACCCCACTGCCAAAGACACCTGCAAACAAGCAAATTACTAAATGCCATTCAAAGAATATAAAGCAAATTACTGAAATGTATATAATATTAGTCCCAAATGACCCCATTTCGCTCTATCTATACATATATATCACATACCTTATTATTGTCTCTATCTTGTAAGAGATTAATAAACTGTGCCTGGGGTAACATATATGTTGTTAAAGCTGTATACCGATGAGTCACATATTCTGTTGCAAAAGGATCAGCATTCTTTGGCAAAACAAAAACATGGACATAAAGGGTTCCATTTCTTCTTGTTTTATTAGGAATAGAGATATTAAAATTCCTGTAATAAGAACAAAGATACAATGTACTGGTTTTGTAATTACCGGTAGCTAAAAAAAGTTTTGTCAAGATTTTATTATTAAAATTTTGTGGTTTTAAAATCGTTTACTTTAATATCGTTTATCACTATCTTTTAGATCACATCCAATTCAGGACTTACAAAATGAATAAATATTTGAATGTCAAAATTTTGAAATGGGTGCCATGATCCAATTCTAAATAAATCTGTTATATTCTTTCCATTTTGATGCATGTCAATAATGTAAAAAAGAATCATCATACTTCTGTTGTTTCCTTCTGATACAGAAAATAAAGATTTTTAAAAAAGACTATTTGATTGTTGTCTGTATTGCAGAGGTCTGTAGTTGATATCCATTAGAGAATTTTTTCCTGACAAAATATATAAAACTACCTTTCTTCTGTTTTGTGGATGTCAAAATTATCATTTTTCCATACTAAAGTTAAATCTGTTTCACTGATTTGAGTTTGTTTTTTAGAGGTATAGACTTGCATCTGAAACAATAGAAATTAAAAACTAGATAAAATAAGATTGACTGACTCTCGAGAGCTATCATTAATTATCACTTATTAATAACATGATAATCAATACTTTCTTTGTTTTTTACTTTCCAATTTAATTTGGAAATTACTATAATCAATTCATCAGTTTTCACCAAAGATTTTTGCATACAATCTGCAGGGATATTCTGAATAATTTGGTAAGTCTACTACTATGCATGTATGACAATAAAAATTATGCTCTAAGTCTCTAAGTACCTGTATTACCTTTGATTTGATGAATGACGATTTTATTTTTTTTCACCAAAATGATAGAAACAAAGTCTGAGCCCAAGCCTCAGATTCCTTATTTATTTATAACATTTATAAAATTATTGTCAGTTTATTACCTCTAGTTTATGATTTCTGGCAGCATAAGCCTTTAAGCATTGTCCCACTGTACATGGTTTTGGGTTAAAGAGTTGATATAAGACCCAAGTGGAATGAGCAATATAAGCAAATACAACAGCAAATAATATATACGTCAAAGAAAACTTCATCTCTTTGGGTTATTTAACTCTTCCTTGCATCAGTCTTCCATACTGTTTTAGAATACTAATCTCTGGTAAAAAGAAAATTAGCAGTAATTAATTACCTACTTATAACTGTTTAGCTTTCTGCAACAGCCGGGGTAATGAAAAAGGCATAAACCATGCAGAATGCTGCAACGGAAATTTTGCACGGACATTTGCACTACGACCTATTCTTATTTCAATTTCCAACTGATAAGGGATCTTCAATGAAGTACCAGTGGCATACACAGGGACACATTTTTTCATGCCATCCGAATGACATTTTTCATTTCCATGGCAGGCTCTCCATCCTAGACTAAACAAATCCAGAGGAACTCTCTGCAAACACTGAACCTCCTGGTCATGAGCAAGCACCATACACGACACTGAGACACTTAAATTTTACAAAAGGAAGGTAAGGCAACTTGTTGGTGATCGTCCTTTTTCTTTTCCAAAATGAATATACAGGACACGCAATACTTCAGGAATAAAGCTTTTATTTCATGTGAAAACATGACTCATCTGCTTATAAAGCTGCTGATTGTCATTTGCATTGTTTAGATTAATCATTTAAACTAGACGAATGACATTATTGCAGACCATTACAATTCGGAAAACATCTAAATCAAAATGGGTTGTAAACTATAAATGTGAGGAAGAGCACATGTGTGACATTGTTTACAGAATATTCACAATGTCTCCACGGTTCGCACAAGCTTATGAATTTCGTAGTCTAGATACATTTTGGCACTTTTACCATTGATTTTAAATATCGTAAGTAGTGCTGGGTATTGCCACTGCTGTCACAATACGATAAGTATTGCGATTCAGGTGCTACGATGCAAAGTCGTATCACGATTCATAACCAGGTCAATATGTACCAAGAAAATTGATATTTTTAGTCCTGCCGATGTCTAACAAATAAAACTGTTTTAAATCATGATATCGTGTAGATCAAAATAAGGACCAAAACAATTTCAGAGTGTTATGTACCTATGGATAATCTGTGACATGGATAATTATGAGTGACGTACAGGTTACTTACTGAAGCGACAAAAAATATTTTAAAAAAAAGAATCACAATACATCGATTCAACGATATTTCGTGCCAGCACTATTATGCAGAGGAGGGTAAATTTTGAAAATAAAAAAAAATATTGGTTGGATAGAAATTGCTGGGTAGGCGGGGACGATCACCAACTAATTTTTTATGTCGCCCAACTCTTACGACATATTTAACTGTACAAAAGTTTAAATGATTTTGAGTCATTGAGATGTGCCTTGCAGAAATATCTAGACCATATAGGCTCTATGAGATGCTGGCTCAAGTAAGACAAGGAATTAAGAAAGTATCAATTTATTCATTGATATACATATCACCAGTTTACATTAACTGTGAACTACAAAAATGGAACAGGAAGGAAAACTATAAAGTCTTGTGTGACTGTGTGTCAGCTTTAAATGAACAGGCTAGTAGTATTTCCACATCCTTTTCCTAACATCCTTTGATTTGAGCGAAAACTGATTGACGAAAAGTTTTAATCGCCAATGTTTTGGGAAGACAGCTAAAATAAACAAATACAATAATATTCATATTTCATAACAACTATAAATGCAGTATTACATAATATATAATATGTAAAAATCTCGGTCTCCAAGGATGTAGAAGAATGAGTTTACACTCACAGAAGACAGAAATATTATATTTATTCTTTTTTTGCCTTCACACACTGACTGTTTCAACGTTTCAATCACAAAAAAATGTCATCAAGGGAAACCACTAAAACCAACGTAGTCTTGATTCTCCAGTACACAATGACTATGATCCCAATAACTTCGAAACTACATGCTGCAATCTGTCAGTCAATTTGATTGACAGTTCGATATACGGCCTTGATATTACTTTTAGTTGTGGTTAAAATGAGAGTTTGGATCTCCCTGCACCCGTTTCTTATGTTTATATCTTGTAAAAATTTTCTCCATTAATTTCCATACTTGAATGTTAATATAAATGATGAATATTATCTTATATCTAGTAGGCAAACCCATCGCCCTATATCACAAAGAATCTAAACAGGCTCGCTGTATCGTAGTTGCAAAAATGAGATGTTCGATCTTCCACTAAATCGTTAAATCCCCCCACCCACCCACTCTCTCTCTCTCTCTCTCTCTCTCTCTCACTTTTATTTTATATATCTCAGAAATAGTAAATTCCATCGCACTGTACTACATATAGAACCCCCAATCGGCCTCGCAATGCAGTCAGTCTTTTTCTTTTGTTTAAAAGATTTGGGGGATATTTTTTCAATTGATTTTGATAAAATAATCATATTTCTTTCGAACGTTAAATACGTATATTAAGGACATTATACTATATTATATCCCAGAAACACGGAAATTTATCATCCAATATCGCGTATAGAGCCTAATCGGCCTCGCTATGCATGAAGTATACAATCGGCCTCGCTTAGCAGTTGGACTTTTTCTTAATTTTGGAAGATTATAAAGTATTTCTTTGAATTAAATTTCATAGCAAAATTATATTTAAGTGATTGTATTATATAAATTAAGAATAATATCACAGAAATAGCGGAATTCATCGCACTATACCATATGAAGTACACAATTGGCCTCGCTTAGCAGTGGGACTTTTTCTTATGTTTAAAAGATTTGGGGGATATTTTTTCAATTGATTTTGATAAAATAATCATATTTCTTTCGAGCATTTTACGCATATAAAACACATTATACTATATATCCCAGAAACACGGAAATTCATCACCAAATATCGCGTATAGAGCCTAATCGGCCTCGCTATGCATGAAGTATAAAATCAGTGTGACTTTTTCTTAATTTTGAAAGATTATAAAGTATTTCTATGAATTAATTTTCATAGAAAGAAAACAATATTTAAGTGATTGCATTTTATAAATTAAGAATTGTATCTTATACATATATCACAGAAATAGCGGAATTCGTTGCACTATACCATATGAAGTATACAATCGGCCTCGCTTAGCAGTGGGACCTTTTCTTAATTTTGAAAGATTATGAAGTATTTCTATGAATTAATTTTCATAGAAAAATTATATTTAAGTGATTGTATTATATAAATTAAGAATAATGTCATGTATATCACAGAAATAGCGGAATTCATCGCATTATACAACATGAAGTATACAATCGGCCTCGTTTATCAGTGGGACTTTTTCTTAAGTTTTGAAAGGTTATAAAGTATTTCTATGAATTAAATTTCATAGAAAAATTATATTTAAGTGATTGTATTATATAAATTAAGAATAATATCACAGAAATAGCGGAATTCATCGCACTATACCACATGAAGTAGACAACCGGCCTCGCTTAGCAGTCAGCCCTTTTCTTATACGATTAAAAGATTTGCGGATATTTTTTCAATTGATTTCCATAAAATAATGATATTTCTTTCTAATATGTTACGTATATTAAGCACACCATCTTATATATCCCAGGAACACGGAAATGCATCATCCAATACCGCGTATAGAGCCTAATCGGCCTCGCTGGGACTTTTTCTTAATTTTGAAAGGTTATAAAATATTTCTATGTATTATATAAATTAAACATGCATTATGCAAGAGCTAAATTTGCATATTCTATGTCTTTCTTTAGGCCTGAAATGTTATATAAACTATTATTTAGACATTGATTAACGTATCCAGACTATAATCAACGCTAGCCTGCGATATTTGTTGGATTATTATCCGATTTACTGCATAACTTTCCTTCTCGATTTAACGAGTAAGTGGATAATCGAGACTATGATTTTTGTCGAACAGACTTTAGTAATAATCCTTATAAGACATATAGAAGTAGATTTCACAAATTAAAAACACTTATATGGATATACTACTTCTGAATTTATTAACATGCTACGTTTCGATACACATACAGATATCGTTATCAAGCAAATAATGATTTATAACAAAAATGTGGTGCAATATATAGTTAACAATTGGAAACCATGTAACAGATTAATCAATAATTAAGAATAAACAAGATGAGAGAAGTAATAATATGGATAAACAATTACAAAGGATTAACAAATTGAAAGCTCGTAATGTATTGATAACAATTATTATTAACAATAAATAGTCCTTTCTAAACTCGACCTTCAAATAAAATGGGAGCGACTTAAACAAGAAAGAGGCGGAGCTTACATCTGCCTCGCTCGTCAGAATCGTAAAAATCGTAATATCAAGGCCGTATATCGAACTGTCAATCAAATTGACTGACATACGGCCTCGCTCAGCAGCGGTCTCGCTCAGCACGCTTTTTCATTTACCAACTAGACTCTATCACACAGACATTTTTGTTAAAGGGAATTGCGCGTATTCAAATGTGACCTGGAAGACAGAGACTACAATAACTTCCTAGGCGAAAAGTCGAAAAGTCGACAGTACGACAGATCATAGGTCGCTAATAGCGCAGTGTGTTAATTTTCTAATTTCTACTTTTCGAGTTGCATTTTGGCTTGTATAGCGTGTTGGCGCCTTCTTACTGACATCAATAAATACAAAAATATGACTAAGTCGAAAGTCGACAAGACGGTATACAAGCCAAAATGCAAGTCGAAAAGTAGAAATTAAGAAAAAACGGGGGGCGCTATTATCGCGGTGTGTTATTTCTTAATTTCCTACTTTCGAGTTGATTTTGGCTTATATACCGTCTTGTCGCGTCACATTTTGTCGTAACTTCTACTTTTCGACTTTTCGACTTTCGTGTTCTGAAGAGGCGAAAAGTAGAAATTATGAATGGTAGTTATAGGCTTCCATATATATCGGATAACTCATCACTGACTATGTCTTCATTATCTCAGAATCGCCTTATAGTTCGTTCATCCCTGCTAGTGAATCTACTGTCGCATAGTTAATTAGAGGATTAGCACCCAAAACATGTTCTGTAGATCCTATATCCACTAATTTACTGAAAGATTGTGTAGACATTTTGATAACATATATATATATATATTCGGCTTATTTAAAACCAAAATCTATAAACCTGCTGAATGTCTCTGTTATGTACATAATAAGAAGTTTAAAATAGCCATGACCGCACTCCGACTTAGTTCCCACTCACTTCAAATTGAAATGGGCAGATACAAAAATGATGACAAAATGCTTAAAACGGATCAAGTCAATTAGTATCTGCGAATTGTTGACGAATAATTATTGAAGATGGGGGTCTTCGTTTTGGAGGTCTTCGTCGCGGTTTTATATACAGACAATTAGTATCTGTAACAAATCGTGTTTGGAAACAAAGTAAGCTTCTTGAAAATAATACCAAAGTTCCAGTGTTCGCGTTTGTCTAGAGAAAGTCACGCCAAGACCAAGTTATGAGAATTGAGAAAAATATTTTAGGATGCCATCTGATGGGTACGATTTTAAACAGATTTGAATTCGATCTGCGATTCAATGGCTGTTCATGATCAACCGTAAAAGTGGATAATCGAGACTTTGTTTATTATCGTAACAACGGTAACAATGACAATTCTGTTTTCTCGGCTCAGAGTGAAGTACTTTGACTGACATTTTCAGCATACTCTCTTTATTTATTTTATAGCGAGAACTGTCAGTTCTTTATCTAATCTTCCATAATGACACTTGTAAAATTGAAAAGCTTACTAGTGCCAAATTGGCAATGATAGGATATCTATACGATAGGATGAATTTGATTGGAATAAAAACATTTCTTTAAAGAATGGCGAACAATTCTCATTCGAAACACAAGATTGTATGAATGGCTTGGATTCGGTGGCCATGCACATGAATATTTGCAATAGGAATCAACTGAAAAGTTTATGAAGATCGAACAATAATTTTGATTAAAACACCGAAATGAATGAAATCAGAAACTTTTGATTTAATTTTGATTTTATGATTCAACACTACGAGTTCATGAGAATATTACATATGTAATAGAACTGGTTAAACACGTTCCAAATATAATTTTAACACAATGATCATTTACGTAACGATGATTTGAAGATACGACAGGTGAGGCAAACAAAAGGAAAACACGAGTTTTCTGTGTAGCCTACTTCTGGTCAGATTTGAACAAAATGTGAAATTCGCTTGTATTCGGCAACTGCAAACCAAACAAATATATTTATATACAAAAGTAAAACAAATACTATCTATGTACTAGGTATGTGAACCTCTAACATGAGAAGTGGTATAGGGTGTTTTGGAAAGAGTAAGAATATTTTACCTCGTACAAAACGCCGGTCACTACTTATAATCAGACGTTGATTTCAGAAAGAAATTTACAAAGGGGCTTAAAATATGCAAATCAAGCCTGAAATTCAATTGTCATGTGAATAAATGAATTAATAATTCATTTAACATTTGAAGCCACCTACTATACCCACGCATAAAAAGATACCCGCAATAAGCAGATTTAGCTCTTGCATAATGCATCTTTAATCCAAATAAGGCTTTTAGTATAAAAGAATTCGCCCTGCATTAGGCAAAGTAAACAAATGTGAATCAATAAAATGTTGGGTTTTTTTCCAGTGAAATTATTCACCGCCAATGATATGGAAGTTATAAGAATAGCCACTCGCTTTTATATAGTTATTCTGTTTATCATGCCTGGTGGATTCTCTCTAAATTGTGAAAAAAATATATCGAGCCCCGAATTCACAAAGCATTCTCAGACTTAATTTAAGAAATTACTCAATTTTCAATCACTGTTTATGAGAAATATCTTTTGTCCAGAAACACAAAACTTTGCACATAGTTTCTTACTGATGTATTTGATGCATTAAAACTACAAATGTTTTATAAAGGA